TTCTTATTGCATCCAAAGCATCTTCTTGTTGCAACTTGGGCTTCCTTTCTTGCCTCTTTGTACATTGGACATTTCTTGGTAGGATGCCCCAATTTCTTGCTCATGAGACAAGCACTTTGTCCATCATTCTTTACTTGGTTGGCCAACTTGTTTGAGGCCTTTTGTTCGGCCACTTCACATTTGTCGGCCCAACTCTTATGTGGACACAACCCACTCATGTCCATATAATCCACAACCATAGCATAACCTTTTTCCATGTTTCTTGCTCTTGGTTGTGTTGGCCTTGCTTGAAATGTGATTCCTTTGTTGAGTTTTGGAGGAAGCAAGGTTTGAACCCTTCTCAGGTTTCTTCACCATGTAATCACGGTTATCTTGAGAAGGTTGTGCTTTCTCCTCACCATTCAACTGAATCACATCTTTCTTTAATCTTTTCACTTCTTCTTTGAGCTCTATGTTTTCTATGAGATTTAGCTCAATCGAAGATTGGCTTGCTTGAGGAGCACACTCATTAGTACAAGAAACATTTAATTGAGATGGTGTACTAGTGAGTGAATGTGTGAGAGGTTGAGAGGATTTTACCGATGTGATCACAACCTCATGTGCTACCTCAAGCATAATGCTTGATTCTACTAATTCTTCATGAGAGCACTTTAGATGAACATAATTAGCTTGTAGCACATTGTACTTGCTTGATAGTTCATCTAGCCTTGCCTTGAGCTCTAAGTTTTCCTTCTCTAGTTGAGAAACACTAGAAGAGGAGTTAGTAACTAAAGCATGCTCAATTGACAATTTTTCATACCTTTCACTTAGAGCCTTTAGTTCTTCCATCTTAGAGATGAGAAACAATTCTTGCTTTTGAAGTGATTGCTCTTGGTTCTCAATCTCTTCTTCAAGCTCATCATTCTTTTCAACTATCTTTATGATGATGAACTTGTCTTTGTGGTTGAGATGATCAAGGTTGTAGTTATCTTCAACTTCAACGTCACTCTCATCTTGATCATCTACTTGTGCTTTCTCCTTCTCTTGATCTTTCTTGTTACTCTTCTTCTTACTTTTCTTGGCCATGAGACACAAGTGATGAGTATCATGAGAGACTGAGATTGACTCATCACTTGGTCGCCACCTTGCTTGAGTATCGCTGCAAACAACTGCTTGCTGGTCTGCTGCCTCGGCCATACCGGACACGTCCGGTAGGCATACTGGACACGTCTGGTATGTGCAGGCAGACAACAAGTCATGTGCTGCTTGCACTTCTTGCTCCGGCTCGGCGCTCTTGAGGTCTTGAGGATTCTTTGCTGCATGAAGACACAATGGACATACTTTCCATTGACTCGACCTCAAGTGCATCATCGCATCTGGATTCTCCATATAACTCAATGAGTTTGGTCCAAATGAGATGAGCACTCTCCGGAGGTGGTTGTCCATTGAATATTGCCTCATCTTGAACCTCTGCACTCAATGTACTCAAAATGGTATTAATAGCTTGAGCATTGAGTTGCACGCATATCTCTTCCTCTTTTGATAAATTCTTATAGTTGCTCCAATCAACTATAGGAAGAGGTATGCTTGCAAACACAATATGCTCAACAATAGAACTAATATGTCTAAAAGCATTGAGTATATGAATTGACCAAGGTAGAAAGTTTGAACCATCATTTTGGAGAAGCACCGGCTCCAACTCGATAGACGTCGACATCCTTTTCTCACGGCGGTAAAGCTTTAGGTGAGAACCAGGCTCTGATACCAATTGAAAGGACCTAGGATGTCGCCTAGAGGGGGGTGATTAGGCGTTTCTGAAAATTAACACCTTTGAATGCGGAAACAATTAGAAAGGGGAGTTTCCAAAATGGAAACTCCAAATTAAGAGTACTACCACCCCTCACAAGTTAGCCACAGAGTAAACAAGGTATAAAGAATATATCTAGAAGTTACAACCCTGCAACACCAAGTTAGAACAGAGAATAAATATTTTCAGTGCAGGTAGGAAATACCGGTCGTGTCCGGTATGAATACCGGACGTGTCCGGTATACACGATTTCTGCAGATCGGCCCCGAACTTGCTCCTTTCGATTTCTATCTTCAAACCAAACTGCAGGCACCTAATGGAGATGATAATATACACAGAGAACCTGCAGAATAGCTAGAGCAACACAAATATCAAATGAAATGCGAATTGAGACACGATATTTGTTTTACCGAAGTTCGGACTCGTCCAAGTCCTACTCTATGTTGAGGGGGCTACGGGCGACCCAACGAAGGTCAGCCCTAGAGGGTACCACGAAGGTCACTCTAGCCGAAGTCTTTTCCAACTCCTTTTCCTCCTTCCACTAAATGATTCCGAGGCGACGGAATCGACTGTTACAAACTTTCCGAAGCAACCACAATCTCTCGGTTGCTCTCCGGCGACGCCTAGCCGTCTAGGACCGAAGAGTCCAAGAGTAACAAATGCAAATCACGAGATTGACAATATGCACAAGTGCTCAAGGGTGGCTTGCTCTCTTTTTCAAATTCTCTCTTAACCCACAAATTGATTTTGCAATTTGGATCACACACTCACTAAGAGAGGGTTTAGGAGACTAGGCAAGGCTCAAAAACGTGTGTGTATATCAGCAGAATCAGCAGCCTCCAAAGGTGGAGGCTTGGGGGTATTTATAGCCTCCTTAAAAAACTAGTCGTTTTATAGCCGTTGCAATACCGGACACGTCCGGTATGACTTACACTGCCCCAACGGTAACTAAGTTACAATGAAGTTGTGAGGCGTCGGAACTCCCGATGAATGCCGGAACTCCCGACCGCCGGAACTCCCGACTCACGTCGGAACTCCCGATCCTCAGCAAATTTAAAAACCATGTAACTGAGTTAAAGAATATGAGGTGCCGGAACTCCCGACACATGCCGGAACTTCCGACCGTCGGAACTCCCGACTTACGTCGGAACTCTCGACCCTCAAGGCTTTGGAAAACCAGCCGTTGGCCTCTGGTCGTCCATACCGGACACGTCCGGTATGAATACCGGACACGTCCGGTATGACCTGGACAGTGAACTCTCAAAATTATTTAAATTGCGAGACGTCGGAACTCCCGACCATTGCCGGAACTTCCGACCGTCGGAACTCCCGATGAACCAACCCGAAAACAACACTTTTACAGTTACTGGGCAAATACCGGACACGTCCGGTATGCATACCGGACACGTCCGGTATAGCCAGACCAGCAAAAATAAAGTTAGCTCCTTTGTCGCTCAAATACTCAAAACTCACATGGGTTGGCTTGAGCACTTATGAAACATTATCTATCAACAAGATGCATCCCTCTTAATAGTACGGCATTCCTATTTACTCAAATTTAAAAGTATAACGAATTTAAACCTTTTGAGTTGCTCTTTTTGAACCGAAGCCGTGTATTCCAATCTTCATCAAGTGAGGGTGCCAACATGTTGATATTGATCTTTTTCACTTGAGCATTGCCATCTTGAGCACGTGACTTGATTTCATTCATCAAATTTGAATAATCCCAAATGTATGAAGTCACTTCTATCAAACACTCCAATAGTGATTTGATCCTTCACATCAATATGACCATCGTAGCTTGATTAATACCTTAACTAAATGCAAGTACTTTCTTCTTCACCCTAGCTAGGTTCTTCGGCTGCCAAGCCGTCACTTGCCCTTCACCCTTGCTTAGTACCTCGAAGCCTTTCCTTGCTATCTTCATCATCTCAAGCCATCAAGTCACATTTTGTGTTGAATCATCCATTCATTTGTATTGTTGTCTTTTTCATTTCAATTTAGCAAGCTTCAAATATGAGACCATTCCATATGCAATCCCTTATGTCTCATTAATTAAATCTCATAAGCTTGCTTTTACATAGTACATGAAAATCCCACAATAAATAAGCATTTGCATGAATTCCATTTACATTGTTGTCTTGTGCTTGAACTAGATTGTTTATACAACAACACATCATTTTGGCTTTCATTAAGTACCTGTGAGATAACCTATCACCTGTCCACACTTAGCAAACGGGTTAGACCTTTAATCACGTTGTCATTCAATCATCTAAAACCCACTAAAGGGCTAGATGCACTTTCAGTTTGTGTGGGTGAGGCTAAAGTATAAATTAATTCAAAGCGTGTACTCCCTCTGTCCAAAAAAGAATAACGTTATGATATGCGTACTTATCAAACTTTCTCAAATTCGACTAGCTTTATAGAAAAAATATTAGCAACATTTGTATCACTAAAGAAAATTATTATAAAAATATATTCTACAATTTATCTAATGATACTAATTATGCATTATAAATATAAATATTATTTTATATGTAATTGATCAAAGTTAAAAATATTTGACTTCTTGAAAAGTGAGAATGACATTCTTTGTTGTGTGGGGTGGAGGGAGTATGTTTGAAGAAACAAAAACTTTCTATCAACCTATCTTTTCACTTGCTACAGGTAATCCTTAGATGTCCTTGGCTAAGTAAGACAATAACATGAGAAGTCATCAATAAAGAGAAATTAATATTTTCACCACCCCAATAAAAAGGAACATCAAATGGACAAAAATGGTTTGTGTGTTCAATCGTAACAGCTTATGTGAACCTTGTATTAACTCCTTGCAGATGGTTGCTTCGATATTCGTGAGGTCTTATTAGCCCTTAATGTGAATCCACATATATGCCGGCCAACAAAATCTTCATTTTGTTACGTTATTACCTAATCTCTTGTGCCAAAAGAAAGCATATCATTGTGTGCATCACACTTATTTTCATAACTTGTTCCGCATGGCTTTAGAAAAAACATCATGAAGGTTGAAATGGCATAACTGATCAATTAAAGTACTGGGACCACAATAATATGTATATGTATTCTCTCGTCTACATGCATAACCTTAAAACTTAGTACATCCAACTTTCTCATAAACACAAGATTTCTGCTACATTCGAAAAACATACATACACTCTTTAAGTACAAATCACAGACATACAGACATATACATGGATTACTCTGCGAGTCCTGATCCCTTCAATACAGTGCCTTCATTTTTATTCTCATGTGCTTTAGTCCGCTTATGGGTTGGATCATAAGCAACTCCTGCATAGCATTTGACACATGAGTAATAGCACTAGAATCTAACGAGTAGGTATTACTAGGACCTATAATGAGTAGATTCTAACTTCCAAGCATGCAGAAAAATATTGTATACACCTTTTTTTTCAAACCATATTTTTCTCTTCAAGCAATCCTTCTTAAAATGGCCACCTTTTTTGCAGAAATGGCATCTCAACTTCTTTTGCTTCTTCCCTTTGCTGCTACTACCTGCTGGCACCATTATCCACCATGAAAATTGATTGCTATGTATAACCATTTACAGTTCATGTGCATCACTTTACACACCATCAAATAACATTTAATTGTGAGTATGTGAAATTAGCAACAGCAAATTAATCCCTATAGAGATACAGTGACAATGAATAAACGGTAAAGATTTAGATACAAACAACTTAAAGATTTTTCTTAATTAGGCACACAGAGTACTAGAGTTTCATAATTAAGCATGCAAGGAAGTTACTTTGAATCCTGAGCAGGACGTTAGGGATGTGGGCGAATTCAGAGTGTTAGTATTGTTGTCATCTGACAGCAATGGCTTATATAAAATCAATGGTAAGTTATTGTACACATAAGAGGCAACGATTGACATAGACATGACACCAATGGTAGTGACATCAATGCTTTGCAATTCTAGGTCCGCCTCTGGAGCCAACCTGTACCCAATGCCCCTTTGACAGTGGAATCAGGGCGATCACTTACCCCTGCCGGATGTGACCTGTTCACAGAGTCCATAAAATTGTCATTCTACTGGACATTCACAGCAACCTCATGTTTTCTCATCAGTTCAGTGTCCACCCAATCCAGATTCCAGAAAACCTATGAGATCATGACTTGGACATAGGAACTGAGCCTATCAAAGTTCATTGATGATATGGAGGCACACCTAACCCACCTAATCTAGAGTCATCATCAAGGAGAATCTGGATACCTATGATTCCTCCTAAGTTGATCTAGTTTGCTACAGACCATGACTTGAATTTCATGCACATACATTTCGTTTGTAAATTTCACACATCGATAAATTTGGAATTTAGGGCTTCAAGTTGAACAAAGGCTTGTGTCGAGGAAAATTTTGGACGGCAGCTGTGAAAAGACAATGTCTCATCCAAGGCTGAGAATGGTACCCATTGCCTCAACCAAGCGAATGGGCTGAACACTGCCATTTCACGGCATCATTCTTAGGATTAGGAAAAAACTGCCCCCACAAGCCCATTTTAAAATCGATGGAAGTTAGATGCTCAGATTATGAAAGCTGGGAACAAATTAGATAACATGTAAATTTTAAAGAAAAATGCATCCCTCGCGTTCCCCTAGTGGCCCAAATATCTTACTCATAGTCTTTTTTTTTATAGTAAAAAATAAAAATAAATATATAGACAGCACAAAGTGTAATATTGGATTTATTGTGTATGGTACCTGGACCAGGGTTCTGTTGTGTATTTGCGGAACTCTCCATTGACAGCATTTTGAGAGAAATCTTCCGTAAGTAATCACTCTGAATGATACAAAACAAGGATTGGAGTTGTAGTTTCACATTGATAAGTTTTTTTTTAAGTGCAGGGTCAATATTTTCCTCCTGCATGCCCTAGTATGATTAGCACAGTAAGCATGCATATTATCGACTTATGCTAACATGATGAGAAAAGGAAATGCTACAGGCATGTAAAAATTGGCCTAAAATCCTGGTAGCAGATTGTTCATAGATGGCTGTTTTCCATGTTTTTTTCTATGTTTGCATTTTTTCCTTTTTTTTTTGTGCGAGAATGTAGAAACTATGATTGACGCACCCACCCACCCACCCACTCAGTGCTGAGCGCTGAGCGGAAAGTAGAAGCAGAGTTAGTGAGCAGAGTTAGGTTAAGGTACCTGGCTAGTGGCTGCGGCATACACCTTGTCTTCAAATCGCACGGCAATTCTTTGAAGCTCAACCAGCCCCTCTGCCACTGATACCGGCAGATGCTTCCTCAGAGTCAGTACTCTGAATGCAAGACATGCGTCTGATTAAAGTGTGAGGGTGGCGAGGAAGGAGGAAGGAGGCATGAAGAAAGGGGAGTGGGCGTACATCTTGTTCACGATCCTGCCGCGCGCCGCGGGCTGGAGCTGGGCGCGCCAGTCATCGCCGGCGTCCATGGCTTCGTGCTTCGTGGTTGGATCGGCGTGCTTGGATTGGAGTATTGGATGGATCTGTTCGTGCTAGGCGAGACGAGGAAGAGGAAACAGCGAGGCAACTGCGGGCAGCACCTCCCGACGACTCCTGTCCACTGTCCTGTCCTCTGACTCGTGCGCGCTGCGTTGGCGTTGGATTGCCGCAGTGGACCTCTCTCTACGTGTCGACCGTCGACGACGCAGCTGTTGAGTCGAGCTTGCCCTTCCACTGCGACTGCGGTCCCACTGTTCAGTATAAACTGCTAATACTTGCGTATAAATTAATTAATTAATTGCTAGTCCCGCAATTTCTCTCTATAGGAACTCACTTTCAGCTTTCTCTTCGTGAGAGTTTTGCGTTAGACTCTTAGGATCAATAGGAGTAGATCTAGCGGGTAATTTTACTTGTATTTGGGATAAAGCAACCTAGAATATATACCGGAGGAAGAGAGAGAAGAAAAATATGAGAGAGGGGAGGTGTTACCGACCATCGGTGGGCTTGGCAGAGGAGGAAGCCACGTTGACGATGATGGTGGCGTGAAGTGTCGGTGAAGAGTGGCAGTGGCGTCCGGCGGGGTGTGGACGTCGGGGTTGGTGCAGGGGCGGCGGTGAAGCTTCCCGTCGCTCACAGCACACCCTCTCTAGATCAGATTAGGGTTGTAGGTGGGGTTGTGGCGGCGTCGGTGAACCTCGTGTCGCGAGCCCTGCCCCCACCTCCTTTATATAGCGCTGCACGACGGGGGTCCACCAGCCATATGTGCGGCTGGGCGCCCCCAATCAGGACGCGGGATCAAGGCCCGAGTCGGCCGTTGGGTCGACTTGGTGGAGATCAGCCTAACATTCTCCCTTTGATCTCACATTTTGTCTTAAACTTAAAATACTTATCTCTTGTCCCATTCCATCACAGATTAGCGCATAGAGCGTGCCTCGTTACAACAGTTAGTACCATTTGATTAACAACTACAATACACCTATCTGTTTTGAAACAGATTCTCAGCTAGGCCCCTTATTGTCCAAAGATCATAGGCTTTCCCATAAACCTATGCCGGCTAAGTATTCTATGAACACATTGGGCGGTAAGCTTTTAGTAGCAGATCTGCAAGCATTTTCTTTGTACTTATATGCTCGAGACTAATAGAATGATTCCGGACTTTGTCTTTCACAATATAAAACTTTATATCAATGTGTTTGGTAGCACCACTTGACTTATTGTTGTGAGTATAACATACTGCTGGCTCATTGCCGTAGTACAACTTGAGTGGTCTATGAATGTCATCGACCACTTTTAACCTGAGCATAAATTTTTTTAGCCAGTTCACCTCCCCCGTAGCCTCATAACATGCTATAAACTCGGCATACATCGTGGACGATGCAGTGACGGTTTGCTTGGAGTTTTTCCATGATATAGCTCCTCCTGCGAGAGCAAATACATAGCCTGATGTGGACTTTCTTTCATCTACGTCTCCCGCGAAATCTGAATCTGAATACCCCTCTATATGAAAGGAATCAGATTTTCTATACGTTAGCATGAGGCCTTTTATGCCTTGCACATAATGCAAAGCTTTCTTTATCATTCTCTAGTGTTCTATTCCTAGATTACTCTGATATCTGCCGAGTATTCCGGTAACAAAAGCTAAGTCAGGACGTGTACATACTTGAGCATATTGTAAGCTTCCAATAGCCGAAGCATATGGAACTGCTTTCACTCGATCGATCTCATATTGGTTCATGGGACATTGGAATTCTCCAAAACTATCGCCCTTGACTATGGAAGCAGGTGAGGGCTTACACGCATGCATATTGTATTTCTTTAGAACCTTTTCTAAGTATGCCTTTTACGATAATCCTAAAACCTCTTTTTTTTTATCTTGGTGAATCTCTATTCTTAAAACAAATGAAGCTTCACCGAGATCTTTCATATCAAAATTGAGGACAAGAACTTCTTCATCTCCAGTAGTAGATTAACATTACTACTAGCGAGTAAGATGTCATCCACATACAGGATTAGAAAAATAAATTTTTCATTCTTGAACTTTGTATAAATGCAATTGTCCTCTACATTCTCTTTAAACCCAAACTTTCTTATTATTTCATCAAACTTTAAATACCACTGTCTAGAGGCTTGTTTTAATCCATAAATAGATTTCTTCAGGTGGCATCCCATACGTTTTTTCCTTTTACGACAAAACCTTTTGGTTGTGCCATATAAACATTTTCATCCAAATTCCCGTTAAGGAAAGTCGTCTTTACATCCATCTGATATAATTCTAAATCGTAATATGCCACTAACACCATTATGATTATAAAAAATCCTTACATGAGACTAGAGAAAATGTCTCATTGTAATATATTTCTTCTCTTTGCGTAAAGCCTTTCGCCACAAGTCGCGCTTTAAATCTTTCCATGTTATCTTTGGAGTCATATTTAGTTTTGTAGACTCATTTACAGCCTATTGTCTTAGCTCCTTTAGGAATTTTTTCTAAGTCCCAAACACCGTTGGTGCTCATTGATCTTATTTCATCATGTATGGCGTCAAGCCACTTCGACGAGTGAGCGCTTCTCATAGCTTCTTCAAATAGGGTGGGATCACCCTCCATTTGAAATTCATCTTCACCCTCCATTTGGAATTCTTCACTAGCATAGACTTAGGAATCATCAGAAATGGTTGATTTTCTGGCCCTTTGAGTCCTTCTGGGGCCCTCATTAGTTGGCACTTGTTCCATGTGGGGCTGTTGTTGCTCTTCCTCATGTGCGACAACAGGCTCTACAGGATCCTGAAGGACAGGTTTCTCATGTTCATTTATTGTCGCCACGGGAGAATTAACAACAGGTCCCGTCACTATAGTGTCTGGCATTGTTGGTGCAACAGCAACAGGTAGCGAGAAAAATGGCTCCTAAACAATTGGAGTGGGCACGTATACCCGCTTCTCCTCAAGGTTAATTTCTCATGCTACCATGCTTTCCCTAACCATCTCATCCTCAAGAACACAACATGTCTTGTTTCTACAAATTTTGTATGTCTGCCAGGACAGTAGAAACGATAATCTTTTGACTTATCTGGATAGCCAATGAAATGGTAACTGACTATCTTGGAGTCTAACTTCCTAATGTTTGGGTTAAATACTTTAGCCTCAGCTGGATAGCCCCACACACGTAAGTGGTTAAGTGAGGGTTCCCTTCCTATCCATAACTCATATGGTGTTTTGGGCACCGACTTGCTTGGTACTCGATTGAGAATATGAATGGCGGTTTTTAACGCCTCCATCCACGAACTTATCGGTAAAGTGGAGTAGCTTATCATACTTCTTACCATATTCATTTAGGTACGGTTGCATCTTTCAGCTACTCCATTCTGCTGAGGCTCGCCGGTGTGGAGTACTGGACAACTATGTCATTTTCCTGTAAGAACTTTACAAAAGGTCTAGGAACTTGGCCATATGGGGTATGTCGACCGTAGTACCCCCCACAATCGGATCTTACTATCTTAATCTTTAAATTGTGCTGATTTTCTACTTTAGCCTTAAATATCTTAAATTTATCCAATGCCTATGATCTTTCCTTAATTGGATAAATATAGCCATAACGAGAATAATCATCTGTGAATGTTATAAATGAATCATAACCATCCACACTTTTTATAGGAAAAGGACCACAGATATCTGTGTGAATTATTTCAAAATTCCTATGCTTCGTTTGACGTCTTTCTTTATTTTCTTAACATACTTTCCTTTAATACAATCAATACATTGTTCTAAGTCTGGAAATTCTAATGGCGGAAGAATTGATTTCTTAATCAATCGTTCTATTATCCCCCTCGAAATATGCCCTAAATGACAGTGCTATAATTTCGATGATACATCATGAATTCTCTTCCGCTTATTTCTTACATTCATAGACGAGGAGGCATTCTCATTCTTAGTGCTTACAACATTCACATTCTCACAAAGTGATAACAAATAAAGCTCATCTTGTCGGAAGGCAAGACCAACACACTTATGATTAAACATAATCTTACATTGGCCATTACCAAAATGGCAATCAAATCCATCATCATCTAAACGTGAAACACTTATTAAGTTTCTACGCAAAGAGGGTACATAAAGGACATCTGTAAGCTTAAGTACAATGCCATCATTTAATTCTAATGGGAGTTCTCCAATGGCTTCAACTCCAGCTTTGACTCTATTTACTACCTTAATGTGTCTTTCTCCTCTTTGCAGGGTCCTCCTCGTATGGAATTCCTATAATGAATTTGCAACATGAATAGTTGCACCTGAATCAATCCACCAAGTAGATTTTGCGTAACTTAAATACAAGAACTCATCTACAAAAGTAATTATGTCCTCACCTTTTTCTCATCAGGTGCTTTAGGAACTCTGGACAATCTTTCTAGTAGTGTCCCTTCTTCTTGCACTATTTGCAGATATCTTTGTCTACTTGAACATGGTTGAATTTCTGATGGTGATAATTCTGTGGGGCCTTTCCTTGTGGCTTAGAGGAGGAGCTATTGTCCCACTGAGGTTTCCCTTGTGGTTTAGCGTTCTTGTTGTTAAAGTTCTTTTTATTTTTCTTCACATGGTTGATGGAGTCACCATATGAGCTCTTAAGCCTCTTCTCTTCTTGCACACATATGACAATGAGCTTCTCAATGTCCCACTTATTGGGCTGTAGGTTGTAATTAATGACAAAGGTTTCATACTCTTTGGGCAAAGAAGCAAAAATCAAATGAATTCGAAACTCATCCTTGAGCCCCATGTCCATTGGCTTGAGCTTGGATGCCGTGCTGCTCATTTTTAGTATGTGCTCTCTAATCCCTCCAGTGTATTTCTCATTGACTAACTTCTTAATAAGAGTGCTTGCATAAGCCTTTGAAGAGCCACTAAGCTACTCTCTACCTTCTTTAGATACTCAGTGGCGGTGGTACATTCTAGGATTTATCCCCTTATTGGATCCTCAATGGAGTCTTTAATCACCATCAAACACTT